GCCCGATGGGCCTCCAAGACGGCCCCAATACGATCCAAGACGGCCTCCGAGACGGCTATGCGGCCTCGAAGTCGGCCAAGATGTTTCCCCACGGCCTCCAATACGTTCCAAGGCCTCTCTAAGAAGGCCAAGTGGGCCCTGAGACAGCCCAAAAGGACTCCAAGACGGCGCCAGAAGGACCCGAGATGTCACCATGAGGCCCCAGAGAGGCCTCTTCCTCCTCCTCCTCCTCCTCCTCCTCCTCCATCCCCCTTCCTTGTAGATACCTCCTCGCTGTCGCACCCCACGACATGTCGGCAGGGCGGGCGGGGCGTGTCTCCTGAGACTTCCTCACCACTTTTGGTCCTGAAACTTGAAACGTGTGACGGCTTCAAGGGTTGAACACACATCGTTTTCAACTTGGGGCTTTCGCCAGAGCGACGCGCACATTCGCTTTCAAAGGTTGCAACACTGTCAAACATGGCGAGGGTCGTATTCAAATGTTGGCTCTGGCCTGAAGGTCGCGCACATTCGTCAAGATGCTGTACTCGCCATTGCGCCGAGCAAGCTCGTCTTAAAAGTGTGCAACGTTGTCAAGGATGCAAAATGGTTTCTTTTCAAAATCGGGGTGTCGCTCAAGTCCGAAGATCGACAAGCGCGTTCCACTACTAGCAAAGTAGCTACTCGCAAATGTGCCCGAGTCCGCCGCGGGGGATCTACGCTCCATCACACACGGGAATGCAGTATCTTTTGCGACGATTGCGAGTAGGCACGCTGCGAGTGGTTGAACGCGCTCGGTGAGAAGATGTAATACCAGACGCTTGAATTAGGTCGGGCATGTTCTCCTACAGGCGGATTTTGGACGAATGATAAACATCGCAGAACATATACCCCACGATACTCAAAAGCTAATCGAAACATCGTTCCCATACTATTTTTTATATTTTCCTCCTGTAGAGGGATATGCCCGACTTAGCGCTTGCGCACGTGCCACGGCGGCGCGGATGGAGGGCGGTCCTCTGTGTTCAGTGCGTGCGATCGCTCGAGCCCCGAGGCCGCCGTCTGCGGAAACCCTGCGCAACCACCATCGGGGGGCAGCTCGCTGGACACCCCCGTGAAGCGTGTGACTCGTATGACCCCAGCATGTTCGCATCCCCCGCTGTTCTCTACGTCAACACAGTCGGGGCGTTGACCTAAGGAACCCTAAATAAGGAACGAGGCCCCTTTTTTCCATAAGTTAAACTTCGATTCCCCATGGGAAACCTCAGGAAAACCCAAGGCAAACTGTGAAGCAATCGAGGAACACCGAGCCCCTCCCCAACGAAAAGGGTTCCTTCTTCAGCGCCCCGACGGTACAATGCACACCCTTTCTGAGAAACAAGGCTCTCGCTTGAATGGCAGGCCACTGGTGAGACGGAAGGCTTGTGTTGCGCCGGCCGGGAGAGCGCACTGCTGCACCGCCGATGCATCTTGGGCGTCCTCTGTCAGGAGGGAAAGAAACACACAGACACAATAATTCTTCGATGTCCAAGAAAATATTGGAAAATATGGGAAGTGGGGGGAAGACAAAACCCAGAAAATATAGGAAAATATGGGGGATCCTGTTATTTGTGTGTATTTACTTGTGTGTCCTTGGGCCCCTTGACTCTGGTCCTCCCTCTCCTCCTCCCTCTCCTGCGGCTTCCCCCTGCCCTCCCGCGCGTGCTCCCCCAAAGATCTCCGCGACGCCGGGGAATCACACATTGGCCAGGCGTTGGCCAAGCGTTGGCCCAGCCAACGTTGGCTTTGCCACCTCGGCGCTTCCAAAAAGGCAAGGCCCGGACACATGGCGCTCCCGATGTTTCGATGCGTGGGCCCCCGGAGGTATGGACTACAGTCGAGGCCTTGACCTAAGGAACCTAAAATAAGGAACGAGGCCCCTTTTTTTCCATATATTAAACTTCGATTTCCGATCGAAAACCTAAGGAAAACCGAAGGCAAACTGCAAAACACCTAAGGAACGCGGAGCCCCTCCCCAACGAAAAGGGTTCCTTCTTCAAGGCCCCGACTGTACTTCCCTAGGGCAGGCTTCTCGTCCTGAGTAGCTTTTGACTGCCCCAGAGCCCGTTGAAGGCCCCCGGAGGCCGAAACCGGCCCGGAACCGACGGCTGCAATCTTTCGGAGCCTCAGATCTCTCGGGTGGCGGCGGCGATGCGCCTCGGGCGGGCGTCTCCGATCACGCATCAGTAGTTGCCCATGCTTTGAACCAGGGTGGCAAAGCCTGCGCCAGCCCCAGGGGCCTGAGGGCAGCGCATGGGTGCAGCGGTGAGAGCAATGACAAGCGACACCATCACCATCTATGCTGGGAGCCTGGGTCGGTCCTCCCGTCCCGTTGGTCAGTTTTTGGCGGCTGGTTTTTGGCCGTTCTCGGCCTCGAGGGGCCCTCAGCGGGCATCGAACAAAAAAATGGAGCGCCAGACGTCTGGGACCATCAGCGCGAGGAGGCAGGGGTCGGTGCTCTTGATGATGCTGCCACCCCTCCCCGCTTGAGGCACCGCCCACCCCTGGCTCGGGGAGGCGTCGTGGGACTCCTCCCTGGAGGTGGCCCGCTGGTGGCCTTATGTCGGGCGTGTCCCCTTACAGGGGATTTTCGACGAAACTACAAGATACTCAAAAAATACACCAAAATGGTAAACAAATGCTCAAAAAATAGTCCCCAGACTATTTTTGTACTATTTTTTCTATGTTTGGGATATTCTTTATTTTTCGTCGGCAATCCCCCTGTAGGGGGACAGGCCCGACTTGATGGTGGCCCTCTCTGCAACCACTTGCTGTTGCCCTGTGGGTCCAATCAACGTTGGGGTGCGGGACGCCCTTCTTGGGGATCCTCCTCCCCCTTACCCCGCCTCGCCCCCTTCCCCCTGCGCCGCCGCCCCCTCTTCCCTCGTCCTGGTCCTCCTCCATTTCCTCCTCCTCCTCCTCCTTTTCTCTTCCTTTCCTCTTCCTTCCGCTGCCGTGCCTGCGAGGCACGAAATGGAGTGCCCTCAGAAGCCATGTTCCATCCCCTGAGCCTCCATCACCAGTCCCGGGGATATCTCTTCAGGGCCGAAAGAGGGCCCGAGGACGGGCCAGAGGGCCCCGAGAGGCCCCTGACCCAAGACCAAAGCACGCTGGCGGGATGGGCCGCACGCCACTGGATCGAGAACCTGACTACCTTGAAGGGGCCCCAGGACACACAAATAGATACACACAAATCAAAAGATTACCCATATTTTCCCATAGTTTCCGGATTGTTGTCTTCCCCCCCACTTCCCATATTTTCCCCTATTTTCTTGGGAATCGCCGATTAATTGTGTCTATGTGTTTCTTTCCCTCCTGATACCTACCAGACCGCCTCAACCCAACCCGAAGACCCGATGCGGGTGCTCTTGCAGGTGCGTGGCGGGCGCCACCGGCGGCCTCCGCGTCGGGGCGGGGGTCCCCCGCCCGCCGCGCGGGGCGGGGGCGGTCCTCGAGCCCCCCGAATTTCTGGTTGGGGGGGGGGGGGGGGTAGGGATACCATGTGATTTTCCAACGCTCCCCGCCCCTACCCCCTCTGGAAGTGGGAGGCAACTTGAGGGCTTCGGGTCAGGGCGGGGGTGGTCTGGCGGGTGGTGAGAACCCCCGACAGAAGGGCGCTTCCCCGCGCGCTCCCAGGGAGCCGTGGGCCTGCAGAGCAGCGCCCGCCACCTGCCCCATCGCGGGGGCGTGTGGAGGCGCCCCGGGAGACACAAAGAGATAGACACAGACTCCAGAATCGCCATGCTTGAAACTATTTGGCTGATGGTAGGTTCCCCCATCCAGCTTCCCGCACGTTCCCATAAAGCAGGGGGACATCTGCGCTTACTTGCGTGTCTGTCTCTAGACGTCCCTCCTGGACGTAGAGGCGGGGTACGGCGAGCGAGCGGCCTGACGTTCACTCCCTGCCGAGAGCGGCCCCCTGCTGGCAGCCAAGAGGGACTGCCTTGGCAACCGGAGGTGGCGCGGGGGCCCCTGGGGCAGCGGAGGAGGCTCCCTGCGGTCGCCTCCTGGCAGCCCGAGGTGGACTATAGGGGTGGTGAAGCGGTGCGGCGACAGACAGTGCGGTGAGGTCATCCTTCTCCTCCTCCTCCTCCTCCTCCTCATATTCCTCCTCCTCCTCCTCCTCATCTTCCTCCTCATCTTCCTCCTCATCTTCCTCCTCATCTGCTTCCTCCTCCTCCTCCTCCTCGTCCTCCTCCTCTTAGGAAATCCCCGCACGGTCCGTCGCCGCATGGCTTTGGGGCACCTCGGCGGCCCCAGTCGCCCGAGGCATCCTCGAAAAGGGTCCCAAATCCCACAATTGCGCGGTCGACCCGAATCCCCGCTGACTCGAATCACACGGTGTGCTCACCGCACGGCCCGGGAATTCCCGAGGAGGCCCCGCGGTGGAGTTTAAGAAACGTTGCTCTGGACGGCCCCCGGGAAACACACAGACCGTCGGGGTGTTGAACTAAGGAACCCTAAATGAGGACCGAGGCCCCTTTTCCCAGACGTCGAACTTCGATTTCCCGTGGAAAACCTCCGGAACACCTGAGGCAAACTGTAAAACAATCAGGGAACACCGAGCCCCTCCCCAACGAAAAGGGTTCCTTCTTCAGCAGCCCGACTGTATCAGCACCAAGCTGGGCTCGCTGTGTGCCACCACCTTGGCCACGAGCGGCGGGCCCTCGCGGGCGGGACTTCGAGGCGCCATCCCGCAGAAACGCAATCTCACCGATGCGCTCCCCGCACCCGCGCGAACCCTCCACGGGCACGCACACGGTTCAGCACAAACCCCGGTCGGCCAGGGCCCTGTCGCGAAGGCCTGGCCAGCCCATCCAGTAGCTCTCAGACCTGGGTCGGCGGAGGGCGGCGAGGGGGAATCGGCCCCACGTGGCCCCCCAATCCCGGGTCATAGTCAAAGGGGATTGGCTGACCCCCGTGAGCGCCGACACCCATTACGTGATGCCCGTCCTCCGCGCAAGCCCCCCCTTCCCGGGGCCTCAGGAGCTCTTGTGCGGGAGCTCCCGGCTGCGGTCCGCCTGCGACGGGGATGGGGGGGGAGCAGGGCTCGCCGCGTCGCCCGGTCAGGCCGCGATCCGCTCGATCTCGAGGCCCCCCTCTGGCCATATTTTCGTTTGATGTTCGCGTTCGATCGGTACGCACCCTGCGGCCGCTGACCCAAAACATGTTTTTGTGTATGGGTTGAAGTACAAGGGTACAGAACCCCTGATCCGTTGGTAGAGAGATGGAGGGATAGATGGATATCTTTCCCTCCCACGCGATCAAGGTGCGATCGCTCCAACTCAGTACCTGAGCCCAAACGGCCAGGCGCGGGAGAGGTAAGGATAAGGAGTATATATGAGGGTATTACACGGGTTCCATTCACACCCCCCGTCCCGAATCCCGCCCGTTAAGGCAGGACTCGGGAACAGAGGAAAGGAATCCGTAACCTCTGAACTCCTTTAGTCCTTAAGTCAGAAAGGCAGCTGGGGCTTAAAATCAGCAAAGCCACAGCTGCAAAGTGAGGTAGGAAGAGATACCCTAAGTCCCCCTTTCTTCTCCAGGCGCTCTTTGGCGCCCCCTCGGTGCGCCCCCAAAAAACGCTTCGGCACTCGAGGGAGGAGAAGAATGAGACAAGGGTAGGCGGAGAAAGAAGATCTGAGCATTAAGGCAACATGCAAACTGCCTCGCAAGATTTGCGAGGCAGGTGTTGCCACCAGCCAGCAGATTATTCTCGACGCAATATTGTTCAAATTGTTAAAATATGCATGCTAAGATCGCGTTGATGAGCACAATCTTGAAATGAAACACAAGTCTGCCTAAAAAGAAATGTATGCTAAGATCGTGTTGACGAACACGATCCTGAAAAGAAACGCAAATCTGTGTAAAGCAAGTGTCTGGCCAGACAAAATGTCGTGTTGATGAACACGAAAAAGATGTATAAAAAACTGTTTGGCGACTCCCGTTGGCGTTGCTCCTTAGGAGGCTGCCTCGGTGATCGCAATATATATATATATATATATATATATATATATATGTGTATGGCCACTTATGTGAATGATTGAAGTGGCCTAAAATAATATATTAGCCACCGCTCAAGGCGAACTTTGATGAGAGAAAGTTCTGCTCTTGAGCGGTGGGCCTTGCGGCCGACTCACTACGCGTCGCCGTCCTTGTAGAACCTGCGGTCCCACACCCTCTGGCCGTTGTACGTCACATAGCTTGTCGTAAACGTTTCCCAAGTTGTCCTCGGGATCCAGTTGCGGAACCAATCGTTGTACGTGATATCCTGGATGTACACATACTCGTCGTTGTTGATCGCAATGTAGATCCAACATTTGATGTAGCGACTCCAGTATCGAAGACCCCAGTAGCTGTCCTCGAGGTCGTAGCGCCAGTAAGCAGCGTAATCAGATGTACGTGCTCTCTTGGCGCGCGGCATCGCGGGCGTGTAGTCCTCCGCGCCTGAGGCGCTGGACGCAGCAGCGTCGCCTGGAGCAGGGCGCGGCGGCGGGCGCGGCGGCGGCCGCGGCTCCATGGCGTCATCGGACTGTTGGGATTGTGTATCGGGATCGGTTCTCATCCCTGTACTAACCCCCCTCTGGTCGGTGTGTGACGGATCGAGGGAGCCTATCAGTTCGTTGGCGATCGCGGCAAGCTTGCGCTGGGTGAACTGTTCACGGGTTCCGTCCCTTCGAGGGAGAGAAACCGTAACCAGTCCGCGCGCCTGCCGCGTCTGCCTGTCAATGCGCCCCTCGTTCAGCCACCACTTTCTCTGGCCAGCCTGTCCTGTCCTAATGCTGACGTCAAGGATGTCCCACGCGTCGCACATGCCCTCGACGGTCCAGGGCTTCTTGCCGACATTCACGCGGGCACCTGTCATCTGATGATGGAACTTGAGGTCGTTGAGAAAGCGTTGTATGAGATTGGCGAATGGGTAGTACAGAGGTCGGTCGTCCTCGGATTCGCCCATTAATCTGCACTCGTGTGCAGGCGGGCTACCGGCTTCGACCCACTTCTGATACCTCTTTTTGGACGCATTGGCCAATCTCCGCAACTGATCTTTCTCGTTGCCTACGTGCGATCGTGCACCCGTCATAATGACGTGCGCGCCATCCTTCATGTATCTCGCGATGTGATCTTCAGACAACGTCGTCTTGATCCAGTTCGTCAACTTCTGCAGGTACGCGAGATCGCTCTGTGTGGCGGTGCTCTTGCCTGTGGCGCCTACGGCCACAGTGTACTGCCAACAGATATCGCAAAGTGCGCCGTCACCTGTGACAATCCCGAGGGACAGATCTCGACCGCAATTCTGACAGAGCGGCATGGGATGCAAGATCGTCTCGGGGGCCCCAGCCGAAGTCAGGTGATCGCGGGATCCCCAGCGGGTGTCCTGACCGCGAGCGAGGCTCTGACCGATCTGATTGATCGCCTCACGATTGATCTCGGTGTTCGGTCTGGAAGCGATCGATATGCTTAAACCCTCGATCTCGATCCGAGACAACCTTTCCCCTGGCAGTCCTTTGTACTCTATCTTGATGTTGTCGGTGTCCTCCGTACCGCCATGGCATACGTTCTCCTCACGAAGACGGCGAGCCTGCTCCTGCAAGGTAGCCTCGTTGTCGCCCTCCTCGCGCTTGAGTCCCGTCTGCTCGGCTATGATACGTACCATAGTTTCCTGATCGGGAGCTGCAGACGCAACACTGCCTGGGTCCTGGGGAATATCCTGCCCAGCGCCTTGCTCTCGAGGCGCAGCAGGTGTTTCCACCAGCTCTTCCCATGCAGGAAAATCTGGATTACCGTATGTCACAGTACAATTTTTGAATAGTTCACGCAATGCCTGAAGTGCAGGATGGTTCTCATGGATGGCCTCTTTGGCGAAATCTGGAAGCTCCGCAATACTATCTTTCAAGATGTTCTGGTATACTTTGGAAATCCATTGAAAGATGCCTGTGGTCGACTCCTCGATAGTCTCTGGGTCGAGGTAGTGTACCAACTTTTTGAAAAAGTGATCTGCACCACAATTAGGTAAGTCACGTGCCCACTTGTGGGTATGATTGTAGTTCAATTGGTATGACTCCGCATTCCATGCTTTCGATCCAAATCGGATTTTGAAATTGTAAATGTGACTGAATTTTGTCCATTACGATTCTGTCTGCGCCACTGTGTAGCTCGATGATCTGCTTCATCTTGATCATAGGCGAATCCACCAATAACGCCGATGTCCAACAATACACGCGGCAATCATCAGACTGTTTAGTCCATCTTGAATCCTCGTCGGGGTCGTAATCTGGATGGTCAAGGAAATTCGATGGCGGATCAATGATATTGTCGAGGATGCTTGCCTCAATCTGCTCTTCTGCTTGGATGTCTGCCGAGAGGTCTGCTCTCATGTTGTCGTTCGCAGCTTTCTCATCGGCAGTAAGAGCGATATTTGACATGTCCACGATTACGGTGATCAGTGGATCATGCGATGATGCTGCACCCTGTCGAGGAATTTCGCCCGTCTGAGCGTTGTCCTCGGCAGGTGTGGCCACCAGCTCGTCTGGATCAGGTGTCCGTGGAGCGGGCCTTCTTGGTGGTGTACGCGGAATACGTGGTCTATGGATGCTAGGCATTCCAAGGTATGGTAAGCTGCCGCTAACCTTGTGCTGTAGTATCTCCTCGCTGCATGATGTCGGGCCTTTCAGGACAGTCTCCATCCATGTTGGATCGATGGCGTGTTCTTCGATGCGAATCGGTAATGCAAATACGACGCCCTTGAGGGGCATGCTTTTGTCATTATACCAGATATTTACCCATCGTAAACCGTAGTTGAGAATAGGTACTTGTACCGCAAAGAACTTGTCGAAGATGCCGAAATGGATGATTGGACCATATATGTGTCCCTTGGACAAGGCAATCTTGGTATTGTGATTGCCTTTGGGCCAGTGGTTGTCGTAGTGAAAGCATTTGGTAGAACCCCAATTCTTAACGACAATGAAGTCGCCCATTCGAACATCGTTAAATGCAGGACGACGATCTCAATCTTTTTGCATGGTCTTTGATGTGATTGGTCGAAGAGCTTCGCGACAATGTGACAATGCAATTAACCATTCTTTATCATCTGCTTTGCGATTGGTCTCCTGAATCATAGCGCGTACTATTTGCTCATCCAAGGCGTCCTCTGCGGATGTACGGCCAGCAGGGGTTTCCCCCGGCCTGGCCGAGGGTGCTGATGCTGGCGTCGTCCTTGGAGGCTCCATGTTGTGGTCGGGGTCGATAGGTGCCAATCCAGGAGGGTCGTCGATGAGTTCTCCAGGAAGGCGGCGCAAATCTCGTACTTGCTCAATGGCTCTCTTGCTGCCAATGGCGGGTAGTCCCATGGGTCGCCGTCTGGCCACAACTGCTGGCCATGCATGTGGTGTGGTTTGAGGCGGCGAATTGCAATAATTGCCGCAGCGGGTACCACGTCCTCTGTCATGATAGCGCCCTGAGCACCCAACCAAAATCTGCAACCTGCTTGTGCGGCGATTTCCATGTTGATCACCAGCTCGACCTCGTTCTTGTAGTTGTTGAACTTGTACGATTCCACTGAAGTATGTGGGTTCTTTTGAACATTGTTCAAATATGTGCTAGAACTAAAGAATGCCTCAGATCGCTGCGATGGTTTATAATTTCTGTCTCTCTGAGAATGTGGTTCAACATATCCAGGAATGATCCCTGTCTTCAATATGTTCTTCCAGGCACGGGATGCTGTGCCATGATGGAGATACTTGACATCTGTCCACTGTAGGCTCTCCCATCCCATATTCCATGGCTTGGAAGATGGGTTTACACAACTGTGACCACCAACGCACCGAATAGCAATGACGCTGTTCCAGTCAAAAGCACTGGGGTCACCTCCTTCAGGGATCGGCTTGGCATATATCTCGATTCTGTTTTTCTGCGGGTCAATATGCTTCTGGAACGTACGAATAATGAATATCGGATAGTAGTCGTTCCAATCGGTGTATCCTTCATTTTCACAGTCGTTCTTGAAATGTGCCACTGCCGCTTC